ATTTAACCCCAAACTGGTGTCGAAACACTTTGAAAGTGTAAAATTAGGTTTTAATACCAGCAATACATTTTTGTAAAACGTTATTATCAGCAAAGAATTTTTCAAGAAAAAAAAATTATTATCAGCAATATTTATTACCAACAAAACATTTTTGAAGAAAAAAAATATTACCAGCAATACATTTTGGGAAAAAATATTAGCAGAAAACATTTTTGAAAAAACAATATTACCAGCAATAAAAATCTTGTCGGCATTAAATAACCCATTGAGGTTGTTATGCCGTAAAACTAAATAAACCAAACCAAAGAATACATATTCTATTCATACAAACCTATCCTAAAAATCTTGTCAGCATTAAATAACCCAATGTGGTTGATATGCCGTAAAAGAAAATAACTCAAAGCAAAGAATACATATTCTATTCAGACGAAACTATTCTAAAAATCTTGTCGGCATTAAATAACCCATTTAGGTTGATATGCTGTAAAAGAAAATGAATCAAACCAAAGAATACATATTCTATTCATACGAACCTATTCTAAAAATCTTGTCGGCATTAATAACCCATTGAGGTTGATATGTCGTAAAAGAAATGAATCAAACCAAAGAATACATATTCTATTCATACGAACCTATTCTAAAAATCTTGTCAGCATTAAATAACCCATTGAGGTTGATATACCGTAAAAGAAAATAAACCAAGACAAAGAATACGTTTTCTATTCATACGAACCTATCCTAAAATTCTTGTCGGCATTAAATAACCCATTGAGGTAAAACAAATCAAACCGAAACAAAACAAAAATAAGTGAATTATCCGATGTAAACGAAATTTCCAGCAAAGTTAATGTTTATAGTGAATATGTTATTTCATTAGAAAACTTTATGGAAATATTTTTCATCAGCTTCACCCACACTTTTAAATATACCGTGTTTACATTTAAATTTGAGCTATCCATAAATCTCTGAAGGTCTTATTTCAGTAAAAATAAAATAAAATTATGTAATAACAAGGGTGAATATGGGAAAATTTGTCCTGAACCTTACCAAAAATAATTCAATAAAACAACAGAAAATCTTTTTGAGAGGTGGTGTTAGCATAATTTAATAAAACAATATTTTCTTTCTGATTTCACATGGAAAGAAATATTGAATATTTATTTAAAAAAAACATGCACCTAATTTTGGGGGCTATTTTGAAATTCCTCTCCTTGCTCTTCGTAACAAGATTATTTTTGTTTAAATAAAGGAATGTCCATCGAATCAAAAAAAAAAAAAAATATATAAAGTTTAATGCTATTTTCGCGTGTTAATATTTTTTAAAGATTTTTTTTATTCCCATTTTATACAACTGCTAGATTATTTTTTGTATGGAAGTTCAAAAGTAAACTAATAATATTAATATGTCGTAATTGTTATGAGGAAGTCAGCTAAGGAGTAACAATACAAGAGGGGAAAATCAACAAAAAAAAAACGAGCCCTTTGAAGACCAACAATATGTCTTGAATATTATACCTCTAATTCAGTGATTATCAATCGACGTGCCGCGGCACACTAGTGAGCCGCGCAAACCTTTTAAGTGCGCCGCCAAATATTGTCACGATATACGTATATATTTGTGTGTGGAAGTAGCAATGGTACAACGTTGGTCTTTCAAGAAATGAATAAGTATTAAATAAGTATTCAACTTATTTTCAGATAATTCTTTACACTATACTTCGATTATGTTATTTTAAATACTTTGTTTTAATATTCTTTTTTTTTGTTAAATATTTTTATTTTTTAAGAGTTCAGAATAAAACATTGGACGGCATTGGATTACAATACAAAAGAAATATTCCACATAAGCTAAAAAGGCCTTATCAGGTTTATTGCAATTTTCTATTTCTTATTTATGTAAATTAGGCTTCTTAACCTTAAATAACATTAAAAAAAAAAGAAGAAATGAGAAAGACTACGCCCAACTGAAGAAGAAATGAGGATCTGCTTATCGCACATTCGACCAAACATTAAAGAAATCGTGAAAAAACACCAGGCATAGGTTTCACACTAAATAAGCTGCGAAAATAATTAAATGGAAACATTGAAATAAAGTAGGTTTATATTTGTGCGTGTATTTTATTTTTAAATCTATGGTTTTATTTCATAACATTTAAATATATACTCTTTAAAAAAATGCTAATTCTGTGGTGATATTTTCATTTGTTCCTAGGTCCGCCATTGCTTAAAAAAGTTGAGAAACACTACCCTAACTCATGATGTGATAGTCATTTTTTCTATATTTTAAATTTCTTTATTTGGATTATAATGTTAAGGACAAAATAAAAATAAAGAAAATACTTGGATGCCATTGAATAATTAAAGGGTCTTATAACAGACCGTATTATTCTGATTTTTGTTTGAATTTTGAATATAGCTGATGAAGGCCTGAGACATAACGGCCGAAACGAAAGATGAGAACAGAAGTCTGTATTTAAATACTGCAAATAACTTTTCTTTCTACAATGATTTCTAATAAAATAACATTCAATTGAAAACTTAATAAATATCGAAAATATTATTGATATATGAATATTCTATTCTTTTTAAAGAATGATTTGTTTGTTTAACGGCATATTAACTGCTTATGGGTCATTTAATGCTGAAATATAATTTTCTTGAGAGTTTTGAAGTAATAAATATGATATTTGTTATTCTGCTTTCACAGTTGAGTACATGGTAGATTATACTCAGCTTTTGTTCATATACATGTTTGTGTGGACATAATTACTAGAGGCGGTGATATGTGTGTTTTCTGTTGTAGTTTTGTTGAAGTTATATTTTGGAATACAGTTTGATTTCTTTAAGAAATTGTAGGATATTATATGGATTAGGTTCGTTTTTCGGAAGTATTTAAATGGATTTGACAAAGTCGCTATAATTTGTTAGTTTGGTTTGGTTTACTTTGGTTTGGTTTGGTTTGGTTTACTTTGGTTTGGTTTGGTTTGGTTTGGTTTACTTTGGTTTGGTTTGGTTTGGTTTACTTTGGTTTGGTTTACTTTGGTTTGGTTTACGGTATATCAAACTCAGTAGGTTATTTATTGCTGACAAGATTTTTATTGCTGGTAATATTTTTGTTATAAAAATGTATTATTGATAATATTTTTTCAAAAATTTATTGATGGTAATACTTTTTTTCCAAAAATCAATTGCTGGTAATAATTTTTCCCAAAAAGTATTGATGGTATTAAAACCTATTTTAACACTTTCATACTGTTTTGACCCCTTTTGTGGGGTTAGCCATTTACCCATAGCTTGGACCCAGACAGGTGCTATCACCCCGTGTCAGAATGGACCTGAGAACACCAGCAATTAAGACGTGGTCTCATACCCCTCAAAACCTCTTGATCAGAGGCCTTGCTGTCGGATGTAGTTTATCGTCTTACCCAGGACGCGGGCGTAGTTTATCGTCATGCCCAGGACGCGGATGTAGTTTAGCGTCATACCCAGGATGGGTTTAGTAGTAATTTTGTCAGTTTAATAAAGTTTCTTAAAATCGGAACAATAAAAAAGAAACCCGTTCGGATTCAATTAAATATTTTATGACATCAAACAGGTAAAATTGATTGATTTATTCATTGGCGTATTTCTTTGTTTTTTTACGGTTTATCAACCTTTTACAAGATATTTAAAGCCGGAAAATATTTTTAGATTGGAAGAATTTTTTTTCTTTGGAGATAATAATGATTTACTGAAACGATTCTTACTAATTACACCATTGACTCTCAACCGACGATCTTCTTAAGTGTGCCGTGAAATATTATCACGGCATATATATATATATATATATATATATATATATATATATATATATATATATATATATATATATATTGTTTGGTCGTTGTACGATCCGGCCTTCTTCCGGTGATCGGATCTCTGAGATGAGCTATTATCATTATTTGCATTATTTACATTATTCAGACTGATATCCTTATCTTCATTGCCATATTCACAACGTAACATAACTGTACAATATCTGTCTATATCTCTGAGATGAGGTATTATGATTACTTGCATTATTTACATTATTCGGACTGTTATCCTCATCTTCATTGCCATATTCACAACGTAACATAAATGTACAATGTCTGTCTATATCTCTGAGATGAGGTATTATGATTACTTGCATTATTTACATTATTCGGACTGTTATCCCCATCTTCATTGCCATATTCAAAAAAATACATATTCATATTCACAACGTTTCGGCCGTCTTACGCTCCAGCCTTCTCCAGGTGATTGAAATTTCGAGTTGTGAGATCAATGCCAGGCCACAGCAGTGGTGAACCAAAAAACTTGGAGAGTTGAGTTAAAGGGAAATAACTTCCGGAAGGGGCATGTCACGTGGAACTAGAGCAAGCTACCCCGGCGGGCAAAATAAAGGGTTCGTTCGAAATTCCATTCATCTGAAGAAGGCCGAAACGGGCAACAGCTGAAACGTTCTGAATATGGCAATGAAGATAAGGATAACAGTCCGAATAATGTAAATTATGCAAGTAATTATTTGTTTTGTTTATTGATAACTTTTCGTATTTTCTTTATGTTATTAAATTAAAAAAAATAATTTATTATTTTATTTTCTTATTTTTAATTTATTTTATTTTATTTTTTGTACTTCTGTGAGGGTCCCTATAATGACATTCCTTGCAGCAGTGATGATCATTTTACTATTGGCCTTATGTCTGACTTAGTTAATTTTAGATAAATACGAGCTCTTACAAATTAAGTATAATACATATACACTACGAGATTTTGTAAATTATTTGATTCTGGTTGAGAAATTTTCAGCAACCGCTTCTTCATGTGTGTGTGTGTGTGCGCGCATGTGTGTGTGTACGTGTGTGTGACTGTATGTGTGTGTGTGCGTGTGCGTGCGTGCGTGTGTGCGTGCGAATGACTTCTCTACGGCCGTACGTTCAACTATAAACAGTCAAACAACGCCTTATTTTGTGACTGCTATGAGTTTTACCAATGCTACTACTGCTACATACAATGTTTCCTCTTACTCCTCCCCTTGGCATCGGCTCTCAGGGTTTTTTCTTTCTTTTTTTTTCTTCCAAGTCTTTGCCCGCCGCCTCTCAGCCTATTACGCTTCAGCCAATGAACTTTTCTCATGCTGGCAACGCCCATGTTTGCTCCGAGAAAGCCTGCAATCATCCCACTTTGCATTACCCGCTCCAATAGAATGGCAGCCACCCTCTACTCGACCTTCTACTCCCTGAGCTTCTACTTCTTCACTATCTGTACCGTCTCTTCTTCTTCTTCTTCTTCTTCTTCTTCTTCTTCTTCTTCTTCTTCTTCTTCTTCTTCTTTACTTTCCCATTTTAATGTTTTTTGCCAATATGAATATCTTACTTTCATTCATTCATTCATTCTTTCGTTCATTCTTTCGTTTGTTCTTTCTTTCTTTCTTTCTTTCTTTCTTTCTTTCTTTCTTTCATCCGTTCGTTCATTTATTCATTTCTTTTTTCTTTCTTTCCTCCGTTCATTCATTAGTTTGTTCTTTCTTTCTTTCTTTCTTTCTTTCCTTCTTTCTTTCTTTCTTTCTTTCATCCGTTCGTTCATTTATTCATTTCTTTTTTCTTTCTTTCGTCCGTTCATTCATTAGTTTGTTCTTTCTTTCTTTCTTTCTTTCTTTCATCCGTTCGTTCATTTATTCATTTCTTTTTTCTTTCTTTCGTCCGTTCATTCATTAGTTTGTTCTTTCTTTCTTTCTTTCTTTCTTTCTTTCTTTCTTTCTTTCTTTCTTTCTTTCATCCGTTCGTTCATTTATTCATTTCTTTTTTCTTTCTTTCGTCCGTTCATTCATTAGTTTGTTCTTTTTTCTTTCTTTCTTTCTTTCTTTCTTTCTTTTTCTTTCTTTCTTTCTTTTTTTTTTGTCCGTCCATTTGTTTGTTCTTTCTTTTTCTTTCTTTCTTTCTTTCTTTCTTTCTTTCTTTCTTTCTTTCTTTCTTTCTTTCTTTCATCCGTTCGTCCATTTATTCATTTCTTTTTTCTTTCTTTCGTCCGTTCATTCATTAGTTTGTTCTTTCTTTCTTTCTTTCTTTCTTTCTTTCTTTCTTTCTTTCTTTCTTTCTCTTGTCCGTCCATTTGTTTGTTCTTTCTTTCTTTCGTTGGTTCGTTCATTCATTCGTTTGTTTTTTTCTTTCTTTCTCCGTTTGTTGATTCATTCGTTTGTTTTTATCTTTCTTCTTTCGTCCGTTCATTCATTAGTTTGTTCTTTCTTTCTTTCTTTCTTTCTTTCTTTCCTTCTTTCTTTCTTTCTTTCTTTTTTCTTTCTTTCTTCCTTTTGTTCGATCATACATTCCTTTGTTCTTTCTTTCCTCCTTTCGTTCATTCATTCCTTTGTTTTTCTTTCTTTCGTTCGTTCATTCAGGTTATCTCTAATTACATCCTTCTTTTCCGTTCCGTTATCGTTCTTTCTTTCTTTCTTTCTTTCTTTCTTTTCTAGTATCCTTTCTTCTCTCACTCTTTTCCACTCTGTTTGAATTTTTCTACTTTCTATCTCACTCCCTGTCTTTCCCCCTCTCTTTCACTGTCTTTCTTTGTCTCTTTTTGCCTACTTTTTCCCATCATTCTCTCCTATTCTTCTCATAATTCAATTCTTTCCTCATTTCTTTATTCATTATATTTTCTGCTCGTCTTTCTCTCTTTCCCCTAACGTTCTCTTTCTCCCGCGCGCTTTTTCACTCTCTTGCTTTTTTTTTTCTCTCTCTCTCTCTTTGTAGTTATTTTGCATATCCGTTATTAAAAATATTCTTTTTTCTCATCAGTTTTATTTTTCTTCTTCTTCTTCTTCTTCTTCTTCTTCTTCTTCTTCTTCTTCTTCTTCTTCTTCTTCCATATTTATTTCTACTCTTCCCAAATCTTCTTTCTCATTCATTTTATTTTCCTTCCATTCATTGTCTGCTTCTCTTTCCATTTGATCTCCTCTTCCTCCTCCTCCTCCGCCTTCTTTGTCTTCATTACTTTTTCGACTTTTCTTTCCCCTCCTCTTCCTCTTCTTCCTCCTCCTCCGCCTTCTTTGTCTTCATTACTTTTTCGACTTTTCTTTCCCCTCCTCTTCCTCTTCTTCCTCCTCCTCCGCCTTCTTTGTCTTCATTCTTTTTCGACTTTTCTTTCCCCTCCTTCTTCCTCTTCCTCCCCCCCTCCGCCTTCTTTGTCTTCATTACTTTTTCGACTTTTTTTCCCCTCCTCTTCCTCTTCTTCCTCCTCCTCCGCCTTCTTTGTCTTCATTACTTTTTCGACTTTTCTTTCCCCTCCTCTTCCTCTTCTTCCTCCTCCTCCTTCTTTTTCTTCTTCTTCTTCTGCTTCTTCGTTTCTTTTTTCGGCATTCAAAGAAAAGCAAAAGGAACTGATGAATAATAAAAAAAGAAAACAGAAAAATGAATAAGAAAACTGAATCGACAAAATTTAACGAGAAAGAAAAAAAAGGAAAAGGAAATGAATGATAAAAATGAAAAGAAAAAAACAGAAATAAGAATGAGAAAAAGAAATGAAAAAAGCAAAGGAAAAAAAAGAAATGAAAAATAAGAAAAAAGAAAAAAAATGACGGATAAGAAAAAAACATTAAAGAAAGAAATGACGAATAAGAAAAAAAAAGAAAAGGAAAAAAGAAATGCAGAATGTGAAAAAGAAAAGAAAAAGTTGGTGACGAATAATAAAAATGAAAAGAAAAAGAAAAGAAAACAGAAACAACGAATAAGAAAAAAGGAAAAAGAAAAGGAAAAAGTAATGAAGAATAAGAAAAAAAAGAAAAAAAGAAAAAGCGAATAAGAAAAAAGAAAAGACAAAAGAAATGACGAATAAGAAAAAAGAAAAGACAAAAGAAATGACGGATAAGAAAAAAGAAAAGACAAAAGAAATGACGAATAAGAAAAAAGAAAAGAAAAAGAAAAAGAAAAGTCGAATAAGAAAAAGAAAAAAGAAAAGGTAAATGAAAAGCGTATCAAGAAAAAAAGAACATAAAAAAGAAAGAAATGACGAATAAAAAAAAAGAAAAAAGAAGAAAAGCCAAAAAAAATGATAAAGGCAGACGAATCAGAAAAAAATGAAAAGAAAAAAAGAAAAGGAAAAAGAAAGAAATGACGAATAAGAAAAAAGAAAAGAAAGATGAAAAGGAGAATAATGAAGAAAAGGACGGACGAATAAAAAAAAAAGAAAAAGGAAGAAAGGAAAGAATAAAAAAGAAAATAACAATAAAAAAAAATCAAAGATGAATAATTATAAAAATAACGTGTCATTTAAAAAAAAAACTTCAACCGATGATAAAATAAACGATAAGAAACGAAATTTAGAAAAATAATTCTTTTCGAATTGATAAAATTAAAGAATACTGAGAACATTAATAATACTGATAAAAAGACGAATAATCATATAGTTGTGCAAAGGGTACATAATAAGAGAAACGTTATTACTTTATACTTCTACTTTTTTTTTTATCAGTTCACCCCAATCAAGGCGATAATGTCACTAGGACGCAATCCTATCTACTCTTATGAGTGACTTTATAACAAATATATTAGAACTAGACTATAACTAAGCTAGATAAGACGGTAATTTTGTTGCATCTCATGAGTTGGAAAAATTGACACTCACAAGGCAACGAAAGTTAAAAGTTAAAAATGGTACGGGTTAACTGACTAGTTTGTGTGAATGGATGCCGGAACAAGGATGAGAATCTTCTTAAAATGAGAAACGGTGCTAATAGCTATAAAAATTGCCATGAAGGAATATGGAACAGAGAAAAAAAGGATGGTAATGGTAATTAGAACATTAGCAGTTTCCTTATAAGGAAACATTTATTGATCGAGCAGCCACTTTTACTTTCGGTTGAAATTTATAAAATCTTTCTATGCAAGGAGATTTACAGGAAAATAGGTTTCTCAAGTCCAGTAGCTGTTATCGCTCTTTCCAGCATTGATAGGATCTTCTTTCGCAAACTTTTGCTTTTTTTAATCATTACGCCCTAAACAAGGCAATAAAGCCACTAGGATGCAAAGGGTTACTGAGTGTTAGGGAATATGAGAAAAACTACTATTAATGAGAGAGGACAAAAAAAACTGAAATTAAGAAGACAGAGGATAACGATTGACACTGCATTTAAATTTTTGAAGATGAAAGGCAATAAAGCCACTACGATGCAAGGAGTTACTGAGTGTTAGAGAATATGAGAAAAGCTACTATTAATGAGAGAGGAAAATAAAAGAACTGGAATTAAGAAGAGATAAGATAACGATTGACATTGCATTTAAATTTTTGATGATCAAAAGTAATAAAGCAATTAGGATGCAAGGGTTACTGAGTGTTAGAGAATATGAGAAAAACTACTATTAATGACAGAGGATAATATAAGAACTGGAATTAAGACAGAAGATAACGATTGACATTGCATTTAAGTTTTTGAAGATCAAAGGCAATAAAGCCACTAGAGTGTTAGAGAATATGAAAAAAAGCTGCTATTAATGTGAGAGGCAATAAAATAATTGGAATTAAGAAGACAGAAGATAACGATTAACATTGCATTTAAATTTTTGAAGAACAAAGTTGACTGAGAAGCAAGAAGCCGGAAGAGAGTTCTACAGGCGAGAAATGTTAGCATAGAACTTATGGTTACATGTAGCCATTTTATCTCAGTGTTGCCTTAAAGAGGTGCGGAACTTTAACGTCTTGATTATGACAATATTTTTCTCTTCTTTTAGTTGTTGCTGTTGTTAAAAGTCCTAAACTGATGTGGTTTCTTTGCGATTATGTAGCGCCAATACAAGACATTCGAAGAAGGATGATCGCCGCTAAGGCCCAGAGGCTTCCTTCAGTCAAAGCCATTTTTATCCATTTTTAACCATTTTTAATTGATCTTTGAAACCAGCAGTATACAACTGACAGTTTAGATATTTCTGAAGGGATTTGGAGACATGTATGACGCCCATATAACTATCTTGGTCTGTCGTGGCAATTTAAGAACAACGCTCGTGGTTTAAAGTTAATGTTTTGGTTTTGTAACAAGTTGCGGTGTTGAGCGAAACTACCCCTATCATAGCTCTATGTTCAATTCCCTTTTATAACTGCTAACGAAGTATCTGAAGTGTTTTGTATTTATTAATGACGCATCCTGATTTTTTTTATGATAGAATCAGGGCATGTGTCATCAATGCAAGAGGATCTAAAACTGGGACCATAGTGGCTACATCTAGGACAGTTCTTGATATCTCAGTTTAAACTGCAAAGAAGGAATGGTAAAATACTTTTCAGTATTTGGAATGGTTAATTTATTAGAAATTATTGAGCAAACTGTAAGAGCAATTGGCATGTTTCAACGACGCACTGGAATTTGTTAACATTTACATTAAGTAGACAATTCGAAACAACAAATAATCATAGAACTAAATTGGCAATTCTTTGAATCTATGACGTTTTCTCTAACAACCCTCTCCTTGATTTCGCTTCATGCTGCTCTCCTTGACTAATCATTGATTCCATTAGTCAAAGACATTTTTCTAATTCCTCAAATCAAAATCGGAATAGATCCTTAGAATAAGGTAAGTATAAACCAGAGAAAATATTTTAATGGCAGAAAAATGATGCCATGGATCAAACATTCGTCCCTGCATTGAATACTGTTGTCATATATGTTCTGGTGCCACCGGTGTTCATCTCGAGGTCCTCGACAAAATCCAGGGACGGATATGCAATGTGATACGTCCTGATCTGGCATCTTGTTTACAATCACTTTCTCACTGCTGTGGCTTCCCTCTGTCTTTTCTGCAAAAATTTTCATGGTAAATGCTCTGACGAGCAACTTTCTCTGGTACCCCAACTGCATGAATTTAAACGTGCTACTAGGTTGGCATTTCGGTCCCACCCTTTCACTGTCGAGACAGTTAAATGTAACCACCTCTTCTACTCCAACAACTTCTTTTCTCGCACTTCCCGACAGTGGAACTCTCTTCCTCTTACTTGCTTCCCTGACAGCTATAATCTTCAAATATTCAAATGTAATCGACATCTTCTGATGCCTTGATCTTGTTCCCTGTCCTTCTCTATATCCTTTCCTCAAACAAGCCTCTATACTCTTGCTCTCAATCTCTGTAACTCCTTGCGTGCTAGAGGCACTCCCGCCTGTTATAGTTTTTTGGATATATGTGTGTACTAGTGAGCCAGTCAAAATGAGCTGACTCATTTTATAGTTCACCAATAGAAGGGTTAACCAATCAGAAAGCTCAAAATATTCAATGCGACGTGTATAAAGGCAGCCATTTTGTTTTATTTCTCCCAACAGATCTTCACTGCCAACCTCTGATATCGAAGACTTAAAGAATTAACAGCCGCTACTTTCTTCGAATCTTCACTGCCAACCTCTGATATTGGAGAGATTACGGACTTCACTGGATTCCATATTCAGAGTCTACGGCAAACATGGTCAACACCGCCTTGCTTGAGGTGAAATGCTTAAAAAAGAAAAAAGAAAAGAAAATTGCGTCTATAATTGCTGGAAACTTTTTCAGCATCCTCATCTTGGCACATTATAAATGAAATTGAATAAGATTTGAAGGACCTTAAAAATGTCGTTGTTCACAGTGATATTTGGTGCACGATGATTCAAAAAATAAATCTAGACTGTTTAGAAAGCTAAATTATGCACGGATACTGAGGAAGGTGCTGGTAATTTGAGGAGACGTGCTGACACTCGGGGGATCTCTGGTTTGAATATACAGATCCATTAGACGATATCAATGAATTGAAACTGTTCAAAACAGGGACGTTAACATATTTTTCTTCATGGCTAAGTCACCCAAGATCAGAATGGGGTTTTACTCGAAGAACTGAGAGAATTATTTTGTGCCAGAGAAATCTGTTAAAAACCAGTAAAGAATTCCTGACTTCGAACGAGGGTTCGAACTCATATCTTTGGAACCGATGAGTAGCGCCTCACGATATCAATTTTCCTTTCTTGTTTTATATGGATAAAAGAATAGCCGAAAGCGCTCGGACATACAGAACATTCGGACAATTTATATATAACTAGCAGCATGGCCCGGCGTTGCCCGTGCTTGATTCAAAAATCGTACGATTCATACAGCAATCGCTATCACTTGACTTAAAATATTTTTGCCCTTCCTTGCCTTTAAAGAAGTGCCCTTTGCCGTGCTGATGTTGCTACATGCCTTACGTCTTGCCTATCTCACACTGCGAAGTTTTTCTAAGCTCTATACTAAACATTAAATCTGTTACGAAAAAAGAACTAAACAAAATGAACACAAAACGATCAGCTTTAAAAAAGGACTCGTAACTGGAAAAACCGAATGAAAAAAAAATGTTAACAACAAATACTTTTTCTTTCACACCCAGACCAGTTCTGCGGAATCAGAATCAACGTTGAGTTTAAGCAAGAATGAGCCAATTGGAGTAAAGTGCCATGCAGATTTAAATTTTTCCCACTTGTGACGAATGCAGCTATCGATTTTTTTGCATGGTAGTTAACATTCGTGTCAGTCAGCTGTTGGCTCTCACGCTGGCCAATAGTATCTTCTTGCCTATTCGTGGCAGCCAGCTATAGGTTCTCACTCTGGCCAGTACAAAATGGCCGCAAACTACATGAAAACTGCCGTAGAAGCATGAAAAAATTGATTATTTCCACTATCGATGGGAGTTGGGAAATACAAAGTCGGTCTTGGCCTTCCCGCTAACTTGGAGCATGTGCATGTAAATTTTGGTGCAAATCCGTCGAAAATTGCGGCCGTACATTCGTTACACACACACACACACACACACACACACACACACACACACACACACACACACATCCTGCCTTTTATAGATAGAGATTTATGTCCATAAAGGAAATAATTATAAGAACGGAAGAAAAGTTAACTAAAAATAAATAATGTGGGTTAATATCTGCTTTGGGAAATATGAAATTCTTACGAGAAGCAAACTGCAAGAAACTTGTATAAACATCACCCAGACCCGGTTGATTTGACTTGACTTTTATCGGTTTTCACCCTGGCCGGGTTGAATCGGCTTCCTCCCGAGCAAGTACAGCATCACGGACCGTCGCTGCCCACGCTCGTCGATCCTGAGCCAGGTCACACGAAATGGCGAGCCAATCGCGATTCCATCGTCGAAGACAAACCACTTGTGGACCCGATAGTACTGTTAGTACTTGATTGCGCTAGCCCACGTCCTCAGCTGACACGTTTTTGCCAGCCAGGAAGAGGAGGGAGGCAGAAGTACATCGCGGATG